CGTCCGAACCCGCAATTGATAAACCAAGGAGCTCTATTTATTTGTGGAAACTGAGTGTTTCAACTCAACAAACCAATCAACAGAAATCTGAACTCGATCATTAAAATGTGATGGTCTGTAAGATACAATTTTACCTGCAGTGGTGTTGCCAAGAATTCCTTTGCGGCCGACCACCCAGAGAAAATGAAAACAAAATGAATCAGATTTGACGCTTTACATAGTAAAGATCTGATTTCTAATACGTAAGTGTGGGCTTTACCTGAGGGAAACGATTGCAAAGGGAATGAAGGTGAGTGCTCGGTAAGCGGATAGCTTCCAGGATCGGTAGACATTCGGCCGATAATATAGTGTTACATAGATGACTTGAGAAATAAGCTTCTATATTGATATCTGGAAACCAAGAGTCGCTACCTACGACATCGGTCTTGGATCCATCAATGTTTCCATTTAAACAGATCTGAACAGGTCTAGCGACAGAGCATGCAGATGATGCAAGTTGCTTGCTTATGAGAAAGCGAGTATAGTATTTTAAATTATGATATTTTAACTAAAACCTTTTCCCTTTAAGATGATAAAGCAGGAGCACAAGAAAAGACTTCTTTACATGACAAAGCAAAAGACAATAATAAAAAATATATTTTATTGAAAAGGCGTATGTGTAATAAAGCAAGAAAGTAAAAAAAAAAGAAAAAACAAAAAAAACCAATATGCTATTGCTATTCACGATTTCGTCTGAACAGAGCGCTTATCAGGTTCAGTCAGAGTAACTGCGAATTATTGAAAAATTGAATTACTGGCCAAAAGGACTTTTGAATAAGCTACTCACATCAATTCTTAAAATGGTGAAATTATTAATTTAGTCGCCAAAACTTTTAAAAAAGGAAGTGATAGGTCCTATGATTCTCATTAGATAGAATTTCATTAGAGGCATAACATTTCCTTTCTGTCCCAAGGTTAGTGTGTACGTATATTTCATGCCACGAATAGCGAAACAAAAGCATATCCATTAAATTCTGCATAAATTCAGAAGATCTTTATTTGCAACGTCTAATAGGAGCGAACGGGCACACTCTAATCTAATACATACCATGAAATGCCACAAATGGATTTCAGTACGTTGATGAGTTGACAACATTGTTTGGCAACTTTGTGAATGTGAGCAGCAGGGGAAAGTCTCGAGTGTAAAATAAAGCATAAAAGAATAGCAGAACCATATATGAGAAAAGGAGTAACTGCAGCATCTCTCTTTTTTTTGAAAAGATCACGCATTTGATCTTATCAATTTAAAGTGTAAGTTGGGGCGACTCAAGACTGGAAGAAATATTTTCGAGGGCAGATTGCAAACTCTACCTACACAAATCTGGATCAGAGTTGGATTTAAAACAACATAAGGCATAACCCAAAAATGCGGACATGTCTGGCCTGAAAAAAATAAATTGTTAATTGTCAAATTAGAAACGTTACAACTTATCATCAAAAGCTACCGAAAGGATAAACGATGCACCTACAAGCTTAAACCGGTTCATAATTTGCGAAATTAGATGTGTAATGAAACTTGTTTAGATATATGCAACACCACCGCGATGTAATTGTAATTGAATTTTAATAAAATTATAAAGTACAACGGAGAATAGGAGGAGGGTGTAGCTGATTTTACAAATTAAACTAGTTGAATTATTGTCAATTGTAAACAAATACAGACTAACTTTTTCAATTACTCTTAAATGTGACCAAATTGTTTTTGAATTACTCTCAGATGTGAGCAAATTCATAGTCGTTTTTTCGTTGCAGATAACAAATCAAATGTCGCCACCAGACGTAACTAAACTTTCGGAAAGACAAGCCCCGGAGATATCGTTACAATAAAAATATTGTTCAGCTTATTAAGCTTATTGCACAATAAGATATTGACAAACCTTAAAATGTCAAAAATCTGGCAGCTCTACGAAGGAATTTCTTTATGCTATTGAATGTTTTAGGGGGCTGACACAATGAGGCATTATTCCTATATTTCCGTATTAAGACTCCAACTTTTCCGACTTTTTACAAGACTTTATGGGAATTGATAAATCATATGGTTTTGCATGTAGATATGCAAATTAAATAAACAAAAAACATAAGAAATGTTATTTATCTAATTTATGTTTACACCGATGAACACTTTTTATTTTATATGATTTGCAATTTTGGCTTGTACCATGAAATGAAAAACAAGCAGCAAAGGCCATTTATTTTAAAGTCGAAATTGTTCTATTAGAGAGTTAAAACGGCTTATTTCCAAATTATAGATTAGTGAGTACACAAAAAGGCTTTCGACAGTGTCACAAAATTTAAGCAGTTTATGAAGATTAACAAAATTATTTTTTATAAGCTTGTGCTATTATTTACGTGGTATGATTACGTTATTTTTGGATCTAAAACCATGTGGTAACGCAGCTGCCCATTTGGGACTTTTTAATCCCAATTCTCACAAAGATCGTGATTATACTCCAACTTTTATTATCAAATACCTTACATTTATTTAACTTATTAAATGATATATATCCTAATAAACTTTTTTTTAATAAAATAAAATTCGTTCTTCTTCTTTTTGTAGTTGAATGCATTATTCAGTGGGAAATAAAAGAAGGGAAAATTAAACATTCCTGTATATAAGTTTAAACTTAAAAATTTTTTGCGACTCTTTATAAACATTCACATAATTCCCAGGTTAAGACGCTTTTATAATTCCTTACGCTTCTCGCTTATTTGAGTTTCTCCTTACGAACTACCACGGACTTCATGTGCACACTGAGCCTTTTTTATTATGACGTAGGAAATCATCTATTATTGGCTTGCTGAACATTCGAGAGAACAGAACAACAGTGAAGTAATTAAATAAATCCTAAATTGAAAATAAATGTTTTGTTAGTTTTTCATTGTCTACATATATAAATACAAACTACGAAAAAGATTCTTTTTTTTTGAATATGGAGTTAGAGCTAGAAAACTCTTTCACTTACGCTCTAAAGTAACAAAATTCGAAATTCGCTCATTTACTTCTCCTCTAAGGTAACAAAACTCGAAGTTCGCTCATTATAATTTGATAATAAACCTGAGCACGACCAAGATGTTGTTTATAAATTGATAATAAACCTGGGCACGTCCAAATTTTCATTGTATTCAGAAATGTTGATGAGCGCCCATCGGAAACTTAGTTCTCGGTTTGTTTTTTCTTATTCATCAACGATTTGAATTTAGGTACTTGCTTTAACTGAGGGGCAGAATTATTACTTTATATTCCAAAAAAAAGAAGCAATTTTGAAAAGTTAAACGAAATTTTCCTGTAAATAATAAGTAAAAATTTTGATTTAATCTTTTCTCGAACAAAATTCAAAAGATGGCCTTCATATGAAATACATCCTTCATAGCAACTAAATGCCGACGGCAACTTTCATTTCATTTTGCAATTCTTTGAATCGAATCTCTTGGGTCTCTCTTTGGTCTGTTATTTAAGAAATTTTATATTAATATCAATGTTATGTTAATATAATTAATATTAATATATATTAAAACGTACATTTATTAATAAAAAATAAATAAACATTAGTTACTAAATATCTCAAAGTTTTCTTTCGATTTGCTTTGTTTTGCCGACGGCTTTGCATTTAACAGAATCGATTCCCTTTTGTCGGTAAAGCATTTATTCATTAAATAGATACAGCCAGCTTAACTAATTTTATAAAAAAAAATGAAAAAAATGGCAATACTGGCCATCTAAGGGACTGCTTAAACATACCCCGAAGAAAGCGTATCAATGAGAAACCAACAACTATTTTTAACATTACATATAAAAGTCGGTTTTCAAATATTAGATTCGATTTCTTAATCACAACTTTGTTATGCTTTTTTCTACTTCCTATGAAATGCTTATCTTGACCGCAACTACTTTTCATATCCTTAACAGCTCTTAAGCAATATCATTTAATAAAAAAAGGGTGCTGCTCAGCTTAGTCCGAATTTATATTCAAAAGGTATAAGCTTTCAAATATGCTTATTGTGTAGAATGTTTTATTGTGCGCTTGCAATCCTTTATATATTATGTTCGTATCCGTTGATAAGGGATGCTTGAAAATTCTTACTAGGATTTTCAATCCAATAAATATTGCATTTAAGTAGAATTAGAGATTATTACTGAAACCTCAATTTGGCAATTTTATTAATGTATTTGAGTTTTTTGAAGAAGATAGGGGAAGACTGTTATTCCAAGCTATAACAATCTTTTTGAAATACTATGTTAGTAAATATTTAGGTTAGGAAACAAAAAAAAATGAGATCCAATTACTTTTCGAAAAAAGTTTTCAAATATCTAGTAAGGCTTCCAGTAAGGCTTCCAGCAGAACTAATAGGCACTAAGAAGTAAGTAAACGGATGACGATATTAATACATATCAAAATTCCACCAACGCTATAGATTTTTTTTACTTATTATACATTAGCTATATTTGCAAATGCTCCATCTTGGCATTGTGCGAAAATATACAAAACATTAAATCTTTAATCTCGGAATGGATTGAGCGTAGATTCAACTTGCATTGTTCGCATACGTTTTTCTTTCTCTCGTTAAACATTTATTATTCATTTATATTATTTATATTATATTATATTTATTATTTTTGTCGCAAGCTATACTTTTTTGTCGTAAGCTATACTTTTTTGTCGCAAGCTATACTTTTTTGTCGCAATGATACCAGCTAACGGCTCTTTTTTTTATTTGAATTGGGCACAAACGTAAAGAAATGAAGAAAAAAAATGTTCTAAAAAATTATATTATTATTATTATTATTTTAATTTTAGACGAATGAAATAAATTCTTAGACTAAAAAAATAGATTGAGCACGAGCAACACAGGCTATCGGGTCTAAAAAATTATAAGCAGTAACGAAATAATTAAAAAGGAGTGGCAACTCAGTTTCAAAAGTATTTTTTTGTGTTCAGCTCTATGCTCGTTTAATGTTCTTTTTCTCGTCTTGTAAGTTTTGTGATTCATTTTCTATCAAAGGGTTTCTTACTTAAAATTTGACAAGAGCTAAAAGGATACATTTAGCAGAATATTAATTAGTGTTGTCCTTAAACAGTCGATAAGTGCAGAGGTGAAAAAGATTGAAGTAAAAAGGAGAAAAAGAAGAGTGCTTTGAAAATGTCATCGTTATCAGCCTCCGCAGAGAATGTGTCAAGCGGTGGTAGTGGCGCAGGTGGTGGTGATTCCAATTCGCAAGATGGTAGCTCAAGTATGTGCTTGGAATTGGCCTTGGAAGGGGAGCGATTGTGTAAAGCAGGCGATTGTCGGGCGGGAGTCGCTTTCCTTCAGGCAGCCATACAAGCGGGCACTGAGGATTTGCGCACCTTAAGCGCCATTTATTCACAATTAGGCAATGCTTACTTCTATCTGGCTGATTATCCGAAGGCTATGCAATATCATAAATTGGATTTGACTTTGGCACGTTCTATGAACGATAAGTTAGGCGAGGCTAAATCTTCAGGTAATTTAGGCAACACGTTAAAAGTAATGGGACGTTTTGATGAAGCTGTTATTTGTTGTGATCGCCACTTGACTTTGGCTCGTCAGCTGGGTGATAAATTAAGTGAGGGACGGGCCTTGTACAATCTAGGCAATGTTTATCATGCCAAAGGGAAGCATATGGGTCAAAGAAATCCCGGCGATTTTGGAGATGATGTTAAAGAAGCTTTAAGCAAAGCTGTCGAATATTATAAACAAAACTTGAAGCTGATGCGCGAATTAGGTGATCGCAGTGCTCAGGGCAGGGCTTGCGGTAATCTTGGCAATACCTATTATTTATTAGGTGATTTTCAAGCAGCTATTGAGCACCATCAAAATCGTTTGCGCATTGCCCGTGAATATGGCGACAAGGCAGCCGAAAGACGCGCCAATAGTAATTTGGGCAACTCCCATATATTCCTCGGTCAGTTTGAAGACGCGGCCGAACACTATAAACGTACGCTGGCTTTGGCTGTCGAACTTGGCGAAAGAGAAGTGGAGGCACAAGCATGCTACAGTTTGGGGAACACTTACACATTATTAAGGGAATTCGGTATTGCTATTGAATATCATCGACGCCATTTGGCAATAGCAAGAGAATTGTGTGATCGCGTTGGTGAAGCAAGGGCTTGTTGGTCCCTCGGCAATGCCTACTCCGCCATAGGAAAACATTACGAAGCTTTGCAGTATGCGGAATCCCATTTAAGATTGGCGCGAGAGCTGCAGGATAAGGTAGGAGAAAGCACGGCTACAGTCAATATCTGCGATTTGCGCAAGATACTTGGATTTCCAGAATTGAAACTTCCCATTGAATTAGAAGAACGTTACGAAGACACAGAATTTCTCGCAGAACTCGATTCGAATATCTCACAAGGACGTATGGTACGGTTTTTTAAAAGTTTGGATGAAAATGATGAGATTTCACATTTTTTAAACGTTTTCATAGGTACGCGTGCGCCGTCAATCAATGGAACAATTAGACTTAATTAAGATTACACCCGACGGTAAACAACAACAAAAGCAACAGATTTCGAAAACAGAACCGAAAAATAATTCAAAAGCTCAAGATGATGATTTCTTCGAATTACTTTCGCGTTCGCAGTCGAAGCGAATGGATGATCAACGTTGCTCCATTAAAATCGGTAATGGGCAAATACCATTCTTATCTCCGACATACGCAACTGAAGAAACTCGTGCTCCCGAAGAGCTTCAAAAGGTGATGGAAATGGATAAAGAGAGAGTTGTTGCAGCCGAAGCAGCTTCAGCTTATCCGCCAGATATCAAAACTATTGACATAAACGCTAGTAATAATAGCAATTTACAAGCCAATGCTGGTGCTGGCGCCACTCATGCTGTATTGGCTAGAAGTCATACGACAACGGAACAACCAGACGATGCCTTTCTCGACATGCTGATGCGTTGCCAAAGTTCACGACTGGAGGAACAGAGGTCCGAATTGCCGAAGCCTAATCTCGTGTTTGATGCGGAAACGCCTCGCCAGATTAGCAACTTTGGCCGCGCAGCCAATACTGTGCCAGATGACGACTTTTTCTCCCTCATTATGAAAGTACAAAGTGGCCGCATGGAAGATCAACGAGCAGCTATACCCATACCACGTCGAGATGGTATGGGTACTAACGCTAATAACAATAATAATGTTAAGTAATTTAAGTGTTGGTTCATCTTTCCAAACCAAAAACAGAATTAAGAAACAAAGTCCGTTTTCTTCAATGCATTTCTTTACCATTTTTAATAATATTATACTAATACTCAAATTAAGCGCAAACACACAACTATATATATAACCACATAAAAATTGCACTAACACATTTCAATTGTTAAACCTGACCTTTCATAAATTCCATAAATAAGTTGAATAATTTAACACAAAAACAAGAAAAGGTCTAAAAGTACTACAAATCTAACATTAAGTTATAGAAACCAAAAATCTACGAGAAAAAAAAAAAAGAATAATGAAATGAAATTTTACCAATTTTTACAGAAACAGAATATAGTTGAATTTTTTTTTTCTGCCATGGTGCAAACATAATCAAGATATGCTGTTGCTGAACATATAATTGAACTACAAAAAACAAAAATTAAAAAAAAAAAGGAAAAGAAACCTACAAATTATTGCATCATTTTTCTAAGCTCACATTTTTAATGTAAGTCGCTGAAAATTTTCTACCAAAACTTAAACGAATAAGTTGAATAATGTTATTAATCCAGGAATCATTCATAGACATATATATATACGTGCATAAAAATATTCCAAATAAAGTTTGCCAAATCAACTTGAGAAACGAATCAATTTCTCATGCCTGAAGACATTTATTGCTCGTCGCTTAAGGAGATGAGATAAGAAGCTTTTCTTAACAGGAGCAAGAATCAAATTAACGACAAATTGTTCCCGTTTTCCCGTTTATTCATGTGTCCATCTGCCCAATTGTGGGGCATCTGTGGTAAACGGTCAAAATTTGCAAAAGAATTTCAAAATGACCCAAGCCGATCAAAGCACAATTCTACCTCGCCTGTACCTTAACTATAAAGGATATCAAAGAATTTTGAAAAAACCGTTGACAATACATAGGTGATACATGTATTATCCATATTAAGTTTCATGTGTTTGTGTATAAAGCGAAAAGTCGATAAAAAACGAAAATAAGAACAAAGGTTTCGTGAGGCGACGACAGGAAATTGCCTTCGAATACATGGGGAGCATCTACTTTGGAATTGACCGCAAATTCTAAAGTACTTACCGCCTATGACTTCAGTATAATGTAAACTAGAGCTCGAATTTGTAAGCTTAGGAGCTATCGCTTAACATACGATGAATTCAACCCTGCCGGACCATTTATCATCATCAAGTCTATTCTCTGAAGGGATTTAAAGGAGCCATTCAGGCGCCTTCTCTAATTTATGATTTATTATCTATAATTTATAATTGCATTTATACCTGTGCCTCGATCTTAGACTCAATAGATTTTATAGTTTTGTTGGCGCGTTAATATTAATTAATTATTATTATGGGGAATATTCGTGAGTGATGATGTTTCGCTATGATGTGCAAAAAAAGTCCAACGTGATTTCGAAATTCTTTTTTTGGGCCTTGATGAAGATGGGGGTTAGTTTGGGTATATACTTTCCCTTTGTTTGTTTTATTAGTTCTTTACGTTTCGTAATTAAATTTTATTTAAATCAATGTCTTGTTAATTTTTGCGCGTTATACGTCCACCAAATTTTTTTTTTTTCATTTTTCTCATTTTTATTAGTAAGTAAAGTGAAAAGCGAAATCGCTTGCATTGTGAAGTTCAAAAACAAGGTAGTTGTTGTAGTGGAATAATTGAATCGTTCATTGCGTGTTCATGGTTTCTTGTTGCACTAGGGATTCTCTTTATTAAGGAATTTGGTCAGGATATATTAAAGAACATTTTGGTTATAAAAGGTATGGTGGAAAAGGCTGCCGTTCGCTCCACTGATGTGATAATGGAAATTGATACCTGGTACAGGTAATATGATAATTCGAATGCTGGAGCGTTGCCTGCGAAATTGATACTCGCTTGGCTGCTGAACTTCAAAAGCGTATACAACCCACTCCCATGCAATATAAATTTCAAATCTTTATTGACGATTTCTTAAAAGCCGATAGCCTTAGATGCTTAGATGCTTTTAAGAGTTTAGTCTTAGAATTTATTTCTCTGGCGAAATTAATAATAATAATAATAATAATAATTCTTAAAAGCAGACCTGCCCTTTCTTGACTTATGCATTGCCAATATACCATATCAGATCAGCTCACCACTTATATTTAAGCTGCTTTAGCATTGACCGTTATTTCGCTGCGCCGTGTTAATGCTTCAGCGTGAATTCATGAATTAATGAAAGTAGGAAAAAATAATTTTAAACCGCCGCCCAAAGTGCAATCGAACGCTAAAGAATCCACAACACACCGGTAAATTTTTCAGACTGCGTTGGTTTAAGATGTGTAGCTTTTCTGCATAAGAATAGAACTCTAGCGTCCGCCTTTCAAATAAATTCAGTTTTGGGAATGTTGGAAAAAAATTGCAAGTTACGTTTATCGCTAAGGAATAAGGTAAGTAAAGTGGCATATACAAAAGGAAGCCATTAACAATTGTTATCTGTCCCGTTAGTCGAGTGCAAGTTCCGCTAGAAACTAGACTTTAGTTGTTTGAAAAAAAAATTTCCAAATTTCGAAAGTCCTTAGAGTAGAAGTCAAGTGGGCACGGAAAGTGTCGCTTTAAAATGAAACGTAGTAAAGAGTTTGATAAAAAAATTTTTATTTTTATATTAATTTTTGTTCGTTTACATTTAAATTAAAAATTAAAATTAATTAATCTTATAAACTTTAAATTGCATCAGACTATTGATGTGTTAATGATCCATTCTTTTTTGTAAATAAATATATATATATATGTATAAATATGTGGAAATGTCTGTATGTATATACAAAGGCTTTTAGACGGCATTAAAGCGAAGAATGTCCAAGCAAAATAATGCAGCACCATTAATTAATTAATATTCAACATTCTGAGCTTTAATATCTAATGGTGGTCGAATACTTTCCAAATCATGTTCAGGGGTTAGTACGAAAATTGGTGCGGGAAATTCCGAATCCAAAGATAAGCTAGACCTTCGCGTCTGATAGGGCGATGCGTAAGCTAATTGCGCCGCTTTTTTCTCTTTACCGCGCTTAAGCATAACGTATACAACGAACACACAAATAAGGAACGCGGTACTACTCGCCGTTATAAAAAGCGCCAATTGAATGGTGCCTTCATGCGATACTACTCGGGCGAATGTTGCTGGCTCTAGCCGCCTGTGTACAAATTGAGAACGTGTAATATCGGAGAGGTAATGACCAGAGCCTAATTTAAAATTACCATCTAGTACTAACGATTCAAGGGCGAATGCCAAATCAATTTTATTGTCATTTTGTAATTCAAATTTTACTACGACGGTGCCGGCACCTTCGTAATTCTCTTGAACTCTTAAATTAATTAAACTATTGCCCAACATTTGCTCTAATTCGTTACGAATAGTATTGTAAATATTTTCGACTGGTTTGTCGGTTACGTTTTGCAAATATAATTCAACCATTACGATGGAAATCGGCGTCTCTTCACATGTTTGAGTACCTTTTTCAAATATAACGGAAGTTTCCAGTTGATTGCCTGCCGTATCGACGCACCAGCAATATTGTTGATTGCATTGTGTCGGTAAAAATGCGCCATTTTCATCACAAGAAACTGGAAAGGGTGCTGTATTGGCAAGAGAACGACAACGCGTTGTTGTCACCTGAAGCGGTGACGCGGTCTTTGCAGAATCGATATAAAGTTGTGAATCCCACAAAGAATTTGCCAATTCACGTACTCGCTCTGTTACGGAGGCTTCAGCAGCTGTTGGAGGACTAGTAACTACATTGCTCACATCCTCTTCCAAATAATTATCAAATTCAATTAAAGTAGTTATCTGATATATCAGCTCCTCCATTAACAGATCGCTGGAATTCTGCGTTGATTGTTGACTTCTGCCTTGACGACTGTTACACATGGGCTCTTGATCGCGCGTTAAAGTTCCCTTTAGGGGCGCACCTTTTTTGTCGGCACACCAGCACACTGCATCAAGCGAAGGTGTACTGAAAGAGCTATTTGAAGCGATGAAGTCGGGTTGTTTACCTATGCACTGCACTGGACTCCAATGGCCAGTAACGGGATCACAGCGTGGCTTAAACCAAACCGACGAGTGACCAGTGCGCTGCGCAGCCAAATTATTCTTCAATTTGAGTCGTTCACATTGTGTAAGAATCGGACATACGGAACTGCAGGATATTTCATTTTCGAATAAGTTCTTCGTGTGACAAGCACTGTCATCTAAATCGATTATCACAGCAACACAACGATTCACTTTTGGGCTGAAGCGATATCGCGTGACATTATATATCGAAGTTTCTTTCGCTAGGCAGGCATTATTTAAAGATTCAAAGCAAACGTCTCCTGCGAAAAATCATTCAAGAAATCAATCATGAATTAAATGTAAATAAAGAAAACTTACTTTGTTTTGTACAGCAAACCCCGCGATTAGTGACCGGATTTAATTGACAAGTGTGCGTAGTAGGGCACGTCTCATTCTCATTGTGGGGGCCGCAGCTTACCTCTGAATCGCTTAGTTTTAAAGGGCTACCTTCCGGACACACAGACTCCCGCCTTGGAACACAGATCGGCATTTTTGGACAGGGTGTATCGACGCATTCTACGGATATCAGTTGGCATTCTTCACTCGCTGCACAATTTATTTCATCGCAAAAGTTACGACAGTCACAAGTGTGGCAACCATTTGGGTTTACCTTAAAGCCTGTCTCACATTTATTTTTACATGCTGCTTTCTTACATTTATAAGCCGAATTCTCTTGACAAACAGGTGAAGAATCCTTTATTCGCGTCCCGCTTAACTCTTGACCGCTGCGATCTACACACCAACAGAACCCGTTAGGTGAGCACTGCACGCGGTTCCATTCGCCTGTCTTGGCGTCGCACTGAGCGACATGCATTTTCATAACGGGTATACCCAATTCGGAGGACTGATGCATTTGTATGCTTTGCAAATGTTGACAAGCTGTTTTCATTTGCGGCAGTACGCATTGTGTTCCACAACCGTTTGAGCAGCAGCGTTTAGCACCCTCACAGTGGGAATCGGTGCGACATTCGTAAGCGCAAGCATTGGCGTCCAAATTGTCGGGAGCAGGTGGCACGAGATAAGGGCACTGACCTGGTTTACGTGGAAGACACGCCGGAACCGGAGGGCAATATTCGTCATCGCATGAGACTTCCACCACGCGGCATTCCTCCATCTCACTGCAAACTACATCGGAACAAGGATCGCGACATTGACAAGCTGGACAGCGGGTCTTGGAATCTAAAATGAAACCATATTCGCAACCCATGCGGCAAGTGACGTCCAAACATTCAATACTGTCACGAAGTTCTAAGCAGACCTCATCGGTTATGTTAAAGCCTCTCGTGCGAGGTATTTCCGTACCAAAGCTATCCACGCACCAGCATTCTTCCACTTCTAATTCAATGATTTCTTGATCACTCAAGATACGTTTAGATCCAGGGATTACTTTTTTAAAATTAGTTTCAAAAAGTAGCCCCACATCTTGCTGTCGATTAGGGTGCATATCAATTACTTTGGCGTTGCGCCCCATTATTGGAGCAGCAACTTCGACTTTAAGCAACCTGTCATCCACTCTGTATAGTTTCAGCCTTTCCGTTTCCCGTTTACGACGTATACGGCTAGCGTCGCTATTATTGGCTAAAAGCATTCTCATGCGTCGTATAGTGTTCTCTTCCAGAATTTTACGCTGCTCAGCTCGTGTAACTTTTATCTTTCGAAAACTGCACTGACGCTCACTATAGTGCCCATCTGGTGAGCAATGAGGTTTTGAAATGGCCAATTTCATACCTTCTTCAGTGCCCTCCATACGCTCTGAGAAGTCACGCAGATATTCACACACTAATCGAAAACCCTTATTATATATATGTACATACATTCAAGAAAATGTCAAGTTAAACCTACTTGTCTGTTGATGGCTCTCAGTTTGAGTTTCCGCTGCCTGAATATCTTCTTTTGTTGTATTAGGACAACAAACGCTTTCAATGGATTTGTACAATTTTACGCATTCATAGTCTGCAGGACAGATTACATGCTTCGTGCTAAAATCTCGGGAAGTTTCTTCAACGGATTCAGGATCATAAAACGACTTGACTTGCCGGCCGATCAACTGAGTTTCGGCTTCTAAGAAAACGAATTTTAAATGGACGTATTTTGTTAAATCCAGTTCAGTTATACTTACGGTCTGTGCAATACAAAATTTCGTTGTTTTCGCTATCGGTGAGAGGAGTTCCCACTTCGCAAGGGTTGGTGTACAACAGATCAGGTTTACACATCGGCCAGGATGCACATAGACTGGATCCCGATTCGCATAAACGATCGACAGCTACCTCACAATGATAGCCTGATGCGCATTTGAAACCATCACATGGCTCCGAGCATTCACACGTCGGACAGTTGTAATGATCATTCTGTAGAAGAAAAAACAAAAATCGAATATTGGTGAAATGGCGAATATTATAAAAGCAAACAACACGCTCATCACCTTGAAGCCATATTCACAAATGGCGGCGCATATATTTGTATCACATTTCTGACGATCAAAGCTGCGACCAAGTTCGGAACGACTAATCATATTCTCCCAACCCTCGCAGGTGACAGTTTTCGCTGCACCCATAGTTCCACTAATTTTATGGCCTGAATGAGAATCAACGCACCAACAAACCAGGCCATTACGTGAGCATTGGCGTGGGGAGAACATTCCAGTGTCATTACATTCCGGAACATAGCCACGGCCCTCCCTTTCATTTATAGCTAATAGATCCGACAGAGCCCTCGCCTGCTGGCAAGTGGTGACATTATGAGGGTGTTGACAATTGAATTGACAGCCCTTGGTGAAGCAGCATTTCTCCATATTAGGACATTCTAGATCGTGGCTGCAAGGTGTGCCGCATATATAACCTGCACTATTTGAGTAGTTTTGCGCATCTGAGGCTGGACATAAGCCCGGTTTATTGAATTTTAAGGCGTTCGGGCAACAAACTCCGTAATCATTATTGTCCTCAACTAGGCACTGATGTAAAGGCGGACACTGAGGCTTGCCACTATCCAAACCACAAAGAAATGGTTTCATTTGTGTCTCATCACCAATAGCTAAAGGCAAACCAGCTGGGCAATAATTTGCTATCGAACGAGCCTTTTTACATGTCGGTATAGGGGGACATGGTTCGCCCTTGCAGTTTACTTCGGTCAATTGGCAGGATCGACCACGTGGACATTGGATACCTTCACAAGCGTCGCGACAACGGCATTGCGTACACCCCGTTTTAGGGTCCCGGGCAAAACCTGATGGGCAAAACATACGACAGGCTGAAGCTGGGCAATGTGCCGGTTCTTTGCATTGCACGAAAGAACGGGAAGCATTACGAGTACCAGGTATCTCTATGCCGTAGTCATCCACACACCAGCAGCTCTGACCTAGTTTATCATTTTGACACTGAATCTCCTCGAACTGGCCGCTACGACTGCAACGTGGTGTACGCAAACTCACGCCTAAAGCTTTTGAACGTCGAGCCTCAGCACGTCTCAAATGTTGACAAGCGGTTAAATCGACTAAACGCACAGGGGAAAGCAATTGAAAGAAAACAAAAATCAGCATTCATAAATACAATACATCAGTGAATAGAAAAAACTCTACGCATGACACCGTTATCTGCTATAAAAATGACGGTCTCGTGTGTATGATGTAATAACTTCGACTGTGTATTTATGTAGTCCAACCAACGTGGTTGGTCAACGCATTTTTAATCGAACTCTACACGCTAGACAATGAATACATGTACAGGTGTTGTTGTTGTTGTTCTTGTTGTTATTATGCATACATGTTAGTAATATGCTTGTAAGCCCGATGAATATGTTTGTTACGTTAAAGATCGCGGTATGCTAGAGAAATAGAAAGCAAAATTGCACTAACAATGAGTACGTAAGTGTATGCGATGTGAAAAGAAGAACCAGTTCACCGCATCCGAGGTGATAATGATGATGATGTTCTCAAAACCAGTTTGTTGTTTAAGTCTTTCGTTTTCATTTGTGCTTCTACATCAATGAAAATTATTTTGTCTTTCCTTTTGCTACGTCGGCTAGAAAAAATGCAATGAATATTTCGCTAGGCACCCAAGCACAAACACACATGAGCACATAAATAAGTAATCACATCCACTATTATTATAAGCATAACATGACACTACTGACACAGAATTCATACATCTCTTCAAACATCTCTCCAAAATTACTTTGTTCATCAAATCATGTATTTTTCATGCCTTTGAACACGTTTGAAGGCAACTCTTTAGAGCACTGGCAACCGCTCTGGACATGTGTAGAGAAAACTAAATGGCCGGGAGCATGGCTGGCAAATATTATAAAAGAAATTATCACTCGCTTCTCTTGAATTGAGAACCTTAATACCCATTTTATCAACGATTTGCTTAGAAGCACATGTGAGATTTGATCCACTTTCAACCGAACTCAATTTATTTGCTAGGATTGCTTTTCTTTATCATTTTGTGGCATTTTCAAAATTCTTACGAATGTGCTGACATGTCGACGTGCGGATTGATTTGTTCATATTAATGTATAATCTTACTTATATCAGTTGATCCCAAACACTTGGTGTTGGTCTTTTACTTCTAAAGGTCTTCTAAATAATTTTCAATTTACACAAAACAAAGGACAATCTATAGAATTCAACTAAGGGTATATGCATACGCTTCATCTTTCAATGTCTTACTAAATTCCTTTATGCATCATAAGAGGTTCTATGGGCAACTTATAGAGGAAAGGATTAATTTGGTTTTCCGTTTACTCTTCTCCGTTCATTTCCTCCCCAAAAACAATGTCGAAATTTCGCTTTTGCCAAGCTAGCATTTTTGAGTTTTGTAAGTGCAATGACGTCATAACAATACGTGCCCCAAAATTTTGAAATCGATGTGAAAATGAAAAGAGAAGAAATGTTAAAATGAAAAGGAGGAAAAAGCACATATAAAAACCCCAAATAATTGTAGATAATGGCTAATGAAAAACATTAGATACCAGATGGTAGTTATGTTTAATTCTTTCTAACATGCTTTAATTTTTCACTGTTATTCAAGCATATGTTAGCATAAAGCAAATGCGAACAGATGTTGTAGTGTGAAAAATGGCCCAGATTTAAAACAAATAGAAGGAAAAAGCAAATGCGCACACCTCTCACTCATGACCGAGCATATCATCATCGTATTTATGTTTGTATGATTGTATGCAAAATCTTTTATGTTTTTTAAGACGGCACACTCACACTTACTCTCGTAAGGTAAGGTACGAAAGTCAATGACACGTAACACATTGGCATAAATTCACATGTGTACGTTTGTATATAAAGTTTGATGTATGTGTGTGTTGTGTGTGTTTTATGTGTTTGTGTATGTAGTTGTATCATGTTATTTGAGTGACTAAATAAATACGGCATTTACTTACCATGCGTACGTCCAGCTTCGACTGCGATCATTAAATATGTGACGATATATAAGAGAGAACTCGCAGTGAACACCAATAACCATCGTTTATCGTAACGTAGCATAATTTTGTTTCGTTGCAAGTTGACTGATAAATTGCATTAAAATTTTGTACTAATAAGTATTTAACTCAACTTTCCTTATCGTCTGTTTCCTCTGCTTTTATACAAGTTTTGTGCGTTTTTAAAAATATATTTATATGTGTGTATGCATATACATGTACATATGTACATGTATCGTTGCGGTTGAGTCAAAAAGCAAAACAAGTCACATATTTCGCAAATCAAAGAAACCTGCGATAAAGTTGTTTATAAACGCATTTCACAGGCCGGAGATAAAACACTAAAAGCAAAAATAATTTCTTTTTTTCCTTTTGCCTTTTTATTTTTCTTTAATGATAAAATTATAATCAATCCACTTTGTTAATTGTATTACATTTACGCAATAGTTTGCTTCAATTTCAATAATTTTTTATTTATCAAAAAAATGCTTGTTGTTGTGTATGCTTGCGAATATCTACTATCTACGATTATTTAACAAGTTCACCTTCAGAAACCACACAATTCAGAATGTGTCATCACATTAATAATTAAGCGCCTGTACATATATATGTATGTACATGCCCACTACGATGAAATCGTCGTAAACAGTCAAACAAAGTTGTTCAACAATACAATTTAAGAGATGTTTCACCATATGCAATAATGTTTCCAAGACGAAAAGAAAAAAGAATGAGAAAAAATCTTTATTCAATTTGTTGTAACGCAAGACATCCTAAGCGAAATAAATACTTTTTAAAATCGTAGCTTATAAAAGATTCATTCCATCAGAGATTCTTTCACATTAGTGTCATCTCATAAACTTTTGATAAGTAGTTGAAAACGTAATAAGCTATGTAAGCGTAACATTATGCAAATAAAAATTTACTTCCAAAGTTAGAAAAGGGGAAAAACCATATCTACACACTGTCGGGCTATATATTGGGTGCGTGAAACACGAAATAGACAAAAACGAATGTTATCAGCTGGCATTGTGAGCTATTTTATCCTTAACTATGCACCAAATTGGCAAAGGCATCCAAGTAATTTAACAAGCCTACGCCTTAAAAAGAAACGGAACGTGACGCGGGTACAAAGGGAAAATATTGTTACTACACATGGAGGAGGGTGGCTTAGTCACGCTATTCTACTCATCAAATTAGATATTTTTAGTCAAGATTTCCGCGAAAAAGAAGACTAGGCAGTCAGTCTATGGAAATTGATTCTCAAGACTTTCAGAATTTAAGTTTATTTTCATACTAGTAGTAGCATCTAGTTACGCAAAACTGAAACTCAACACGTATAGCAAAGCAAGAGTAATCTTAGAGTGGCTGGAGGGACGGCATTTCGATCTATAGATGTATGTGTGCAGAACATCGAATAATGCGCTATTAGAACGAAAAAGATTTCTGCATTAGAAGACTTTATTACAAGCGAAGATGTGCAAATTTCATTCTACTCACACACAGCTTTCAGTTTAAAAATAGTTCAACTTGCATGACTTCAAATCTTCTTTCAGCTGACACAAAATAGAGTGAGTGATGAACGATTGAAACTAAAAATGAGATTCGGAGACAACACCCTAAGCTCGTAGGCTAAGCATGAGATTAATGCAAATGGAATGCGGTGGGAGTACTTATCGGTAGCATACTCACGAACTAAGGAGTTGTAAACGACTGCTCGATAGAGTCTACCCTATGCCCATCTTGCGAAGGAACATTGGGGAATTCAACGCAAAAAATGTTTCGAAGGTCTGCTCGTGCGCAAATATGACAGAATACTTTACTTTTAATATACTATAAAGCTAAACATGGGCTACTATATAATTAAGAAACTCACCGGGGAAGCAGACGCGGCTCTAATCTGTAGTGGGTCAAACGATACTTTCAATCGTACAGAGTGACAGTTATCTCAACTAAGCTGTGCATTAAATTGTGTTGAAGACACAGATACCGGGCGAAAAGGAATTGTTGTTAAACACAAACCGTCCAATAAACTATATATGCTCTCCATTTGTAATTACAAGTTTGTTCACGTTCCTTTAAATCGTTTTATGTAACGTACGTATGCGCGTGATTGTGTTGCTTTGTTCGTCGGTTTTTTTTTTTTTTTGGAGCATTAAAAATAAGAAGAAGAAAGACTGCGTGTTAATATGGTATGGTAGATTAATATGTATGGAAACATGGATATATAAATTTTCAATAACTTTCACTGTTATTTGAAACTTATGGGCTTGCGTTGTGTTTATTATAAAGAAATTATAATTAATTGCAATGTAAATGAAAACTACGACTATAAGAGAAATATTCACAAGTCAAGAGAAGTCATTGCGCAAACACGCAGTCTTTCTTGTTATAACCCTCACTAGATGTAGGTATATTAAATTTGTTAACCTTTAGATTTCGCAAACTTGAGCATACGTCTACTTTCTTCTTGCTGTTCTTGATTTTAAATGCATTGAAGTGATATATTCATTTAAGGAGTGCATTACACGTGCTTCAAGGTTCTTTTGCTTTTAATCTCCTCCTCAAGGGTTCCATGAAATGAGGGCAGAAATCAACGGTGAACGGTTAAAAAATAAATAAATAACTCGAGGAGAGAGATTTTGTGAAGCGATCAGCCTGACATACAAACCTTCTTAGTTGATAGCTACAGGTAAAGCTTAAAAATGGGTGGAGGTGTGTAGTAGCCATAAAAGCAATTTTGATAAAGAATTTTAACTTGGAGCTCGTACTAGAAATTGATCGAATGTTTTATATAAATGTTCTTTCAAGTAATTTACGCAAATACTTTTAAAAATTTAATTTAAAAATCACCGATCCACCGCCTTCCTCCCGCCACTCGGTTGAATGGCACAATTACAGCCAATGAAATATTTTGCAAATTGCCCAAAAACTGAAGGGGCGGGCCCTTCCGTAACGGTTTAAAATTATTTTTCCAAAGATCGCATATATTTTTCGCACGGAAATACTGAATAAATCAATACTTTTGTTATTTTGTTTCGGATGGCAGACAGCTTTGATCACTCATCGGTAATATGCGAGCTTATCTAGCTATATATTTAGCTTTTCATATATCCGACAGATCCAATCCATTTTCATTGTCATGTATAGTATCAACGTAAGATCGCTTTTCATCGATAAGTTGACTAAAGAAGAAAGTATGTAAATCATTCATGGAGAAGAGGACAATTCATACCTGTTTAATATTATAGATTTATCCCTTTTAATTTGTATTATTATGAGGGGATTACAGACAAATGTAAAAAATAAAAATTTATTTTAGTTAAAAAATTCGCAGACTCTTCGGTTGGGCTTTCCCGTTGTTGCTTTGCTTCTATCTTTTCATCTCCCTCAGTTGAATTAAATGGGATCGAGTCGTTGAAATATTTGGGCATTTTGTAGTGTGTATTGAGTATGCACGGATGTTTGTCACATTCAGAAAGACTTGAGATAAAATCGCCCTCATTTTTCAAAAAGCCTTCTCCACTTTATAACGGAAAATTTGAATGGAATGAGGTCAGTTTATTAACTATCGTCGTTGTAATCCTTCTTAGCTAAAAGATAAGCGTTTATGTTGTCTAATTCTTAATATTTGATGATTAAAGTTCATTCAATATAATGACGTGACGTCATTTGACATTTATTGTCGTCAGTTGTGTCTATTCTTTGCACTCCTTCGAATATAAAGGTTCTCATGAAAAGAAGTAAGCCTGGCTACAGCTGTATGAGCTCTGCTTGTTTTTTAACAAAACTATGTACAAAACTCGATAATAAACAGTGACTTCTTTGACCAAAACAGAGCAGTTACTCGTTTCGTCACTTTAATTTTCGTGAAAAGTAAACCTCTTATGCGGTAATAAAATCTACTTTTTGGTATTGTACGACGAAAAGAGATGAAGTAATTCTTCAAGTAATGTGACGTACAATAATTAAAAGTCAGTCTTGGCCAACTATAAACTTATGAAGTTTTCATACGAATGCGGTATAATATTTTATATTTGGAATTTCGTTTTGAGCGCGAAATTAAATATTATACATGCATAGATTACTTAATTATAATACAATCATAATTAATTAAAGATTTTTCTCTTTTCATCTTAAGCTAATGGTAGACATAAACATGAGTCGTTTTAAGCGAGTTTGACAATATATGATGGGATTCCAAAGTTTAAAATATATCATTATTTTTCCTATATACACTTATGTATATATATATATACTTTTTTTATTTTATTTTATTTTTTTTTTCTTTTCGCAAACTATGCATTTTTAAAAATGTTAATATAACTACGGAGAGGAAAAATAGAAGAGTTAGACAATTGTATGTACGTATGTATGTCCGTATATGCAATCTGGTAATAAATGTACGTCTTTTTGCAAGTTTTCCTTCTTCTCACTTAAATATATTATATATACACACATATATGTATACATATTATTTTGTGGTAAGTTCATACGGAGTCTGAAGAGATGATGAGGATGATGATGGTGATGATGATGATGATGATGATGGCGATGATGATGGCGATGATCAAGTCGCTTTCACTTTAGCGACCAACGGCAACAGTAGCAATGGCATTGATAATGCATAAAAAAAAAAAAAAATGTGAAAAAAGGGGAGAAAAAACTGTTACAACTGAAAATATTTCCGTTTTTTTTTTTTGCTTTTTATAGGTTCATTGTAAATGCATTCACTATTTTTTTTTTAATGCTATTCATTACATCTTGAATCGCAATAAAACATTTGGAAATATATTTACATAAATGCTCAGGTAAACTAAAAACTGAAAAAAGAAAAAAAAACCAACAACAAACACGAACGGCCACCAACAACTTTTGGCAAGTCACTGCACGTTGCTATGAGTGAAATTTAACTGAAGTCAAGCAGTTGAAATATCGTTAAGCTCAACCAAAGTGTAGAAGTTTCCCTCAAAAATATTTAGATTATTTATGCTTGCGGTTTTGCATTTTTTTGTTTTTTCCTTTTCTTGAAAAATTAAAAGCAATTTTGAAATTGTTAAATGACTGTCTAAGAGAGTTTTGTTCGGCTTTGGGACCGCTCTTGTCTACCTTATCTTTAAGTGGTGCTTCTATGCCTTATGAATGAAATCATTTTGCACTTGTGGTCTTGACTAAATAGGTTTATTTATTAATTCATTACGTTAATCAAATTGCTTAATCAATACATACATTCACATTTTCAACAAAGGTAAACTCTTACTGAATTACGGGGTCTTTGCTGACTTCTTGCCCTTCTAAGCGTCCGCGAGCCTAAACTATGAAACCGAGTCATAAGCGTTCGTATCGAGTTTGGGATTTCTGTTTCATCATAAAGAGAATTTCCAGATGGAGGGACTACTGAATACCGAGATTCAGTAAACTCGCTTTGTACTACTGTTTAAAAATGTTTTGATCAAAATGGGGAGTTTTGTGGGCGAGATAACCACATTTTAATTACGAATGTAAGCTTCGGCGCTTAGAAGAATTTATGATGACTTAAAGATCCATCTTAGAAGACCTTCATGGAGAGACAGACTCGCATGGCTAGCATGGCATGTAGTTTTCGGTTAATTTGAAAAGTGTCCGAGAGGCTTACAATGCAATTGCGAAAATTATTCTTCCTTCGTAATCGCTGAAGTAATGAATATGTAAACACCAAAGTTTGTCGACCATGAACACACATGAACACATCATTAATGTATGTGTGACTATAGACTGATTCATTGGTCTTTGTTTTTCTTATTTCTTCAAAAAATTTTTAAAAATCGCTACAACTTCAATTTTATACATATCCTGCGAAAATACGAAAAACGATTTGGCCCTGCAGAAAACATATTCAGAAGAGTAAAAAAAAAGATATAAAAAAAAAAAACTTAAGCTTTCGTCAGGAGCGCTATGTGTTATAATTAACAGGACAGAATACAAGATGCTTATATTCTGCCCTTCAATGTTAAGAAATATTGAACCTAACGACGAAGATACGGATTATTAATAACCGAAATGCTGTTTTACATAGGAAATATTAAATCAATTTGATTTGAAATCAATTTTACAACGACCCTTGACAAAGACGATGATAGAAAAAATGAAGCCGATCTCATGCGATGGTTTAATATTTTTTATATTAACTTAAAACAATACTTGCTTACTTTTGTTATTTCTGCTTTACTTTCTTTCATCCGCTTTCTTTACAAGCACGCAAAGCTAAGATTTACGTTTTCAACTTAAACATGCCGACAATGTCATATAAATCTATAAAAATCTTGTTATTATTTAATTGATTAAGGGCGTGCCAGTTGATCGATAGGGAATCTTAAAGCTTTAAGTCTGATAATTATTAAAGGTAATTTTGACATCGATATTCGCTCTTACCAGGACACAACAAATACACTGTTTCCATGATGGTGGGTCGTATATGTTTTCAAATGAAAAATTTCCAAACCTTAGCTTAGCATCTGTTGGCAATATTTCATTATTTCAAGTTTTTGCTTCAATTTTAGCAGCGCTGTGCAATACAATAGACAGACGGACATACCCGATTTCTCCAGTAAGTATAAAATACTTCTTAGATATATATCATAGGTTTTCTTGTGAAACACTATATCTTGGTGTAAAACCAGTTCGTGAAAAGCATAATTTTTTTTTTTTTATAAAACTTCATTCATTATAATTATTATGTTTTATTAAATTTATTTCATTTTATTCCTTTTTTTCATTATTAATATTAATACATCAACATACACATGAGAGCGTATATATTTTAAAATTAATTCACATTTTCACTCACTTTTCTTTTTTAATATTTGCTCGCAGCGCGTTTTAATTATCATTAAGTTAAAAGAACAAGAGGAAGGTAATCTCTTACTCTGTCTTCCTCTCTTCACACTCTCTCTCTCTCTCTCTCTCTCTCTCTCTCTCTCTTTCTGCTCTATACACGTCCTTCTGCACACACAATATACCGTTTTTCACTCTAAACGCAAATATTTGTTTACAAAAAACCGAATTTTATCGAGCGACAAGAAAATGAAAATGTATTCGTGTTTAACACGACTTGTGATTGCAACTTTTACTTATAATTAATTCACGAGATCACGTTCAAAATGAAACGATTGAGACGAACTTAACAAAACGACGTTCATTTCACTAATAAACCAAAAGATAAAAGTATTTGAACAATTTAAGCTATAAAACCGCTTACCACAAAAAAAGCATAGCTCGATATTAAGTCTGCATGAGTTGGAGTTGGAGTAACCGAATACACATATGTAATAATAAGTGCGTGCGTTTTGTCTTTGTGAAAACTACAAATTGAGTTATAAAAAATATTAAAAAAATTTACTGTACATACCTACCCACATATATATATATGTATATATACTCGTAGCTATACATATGTATAAAAAATTGAAAACAATATAGCATTCAAAGTATTTCGTTAGTTTTTTAATTTTTTAATACGTGACCTTCTTTATATAGTGAACACGCATATAAAACTTGGGTAATTCCACAATCAGTCTCTGAGTTTACGTATACAGCTTTAATATATGTGTATTAGCGCTCAACTGATTTTCAAACCATAGATAATTTTTAAAATGACAATATTATAAATCACGTTTAAATCAAGCAATTTAGGCTTTTCTATTTTTTTTCCTCACTATTAGGCGCTAAGTTAAAAGAGGATTTCAATTAAGCTGACTTCGTTCAAGAGTAATGCTTGTCTTTGTTTGGCTGTTTCTGGATGTTTAGCCGGTTATGAATGCTACACGGGAATGACAAGTTTATTAAATACCTGCGCTAATAATGATAATAACTATGAGAAATGCCTTTTAAGTTTAAGTTAAGAGTTACATAAGCTTTGATTAACCCGGTAATAATAATTTCTATTTAGATATTCATGACAGAAAGGTTTAAAGGATTAAAATGTTTGTAATTATTCAAGTCATACTTTTTGTTCACTTCGCTCTGGCAAAGTTTCACGTTGATCTAGTTGAAATAAATATGAATTATCATTAGGATTCTCCATCCACGTCTAATTGCCGATGAAGGATTGAAAATCGTTCGCATTTATAAAACCTATTGTCTGCGGTTCGGATACTCTGTCAAATATAAAAAGTACCCCATATCATGCTTGAGCAAAAGTCTTTGCCAAAATATAATCATCCGCGACATATTTAACTATATTTTCAACACTACAAAGATATTCGCCAGATGGACATAAGTGAATGTGAACGTATTATAAATGTCAAAGCATCTCGTAGCAGGTACTAATAAAAAAAAGGGACAATTAATTATTTCGGAATATATATATGAAAGTTACAGTTGTCAAATGAGATGGATAGTTGCGACTAGTGCAGGTAATACGTTTTCAGAACTATTCGTAATATAAATCTTTCAGATCGGTTTGAAATCTTCTGACTCATATACGGTAATAAAATAATATGCATTTGACAGAATTTCTTCAAGCGCCAAATACGTTTTTATTACCGCCTTCTATTAACTAAGTTTTATACTTTTTGCTCGTGAAAAAATGTATCGCAACTCAGGAAACTTGATGATTGCCATATTGAATTGAAAAATAGAAAGCAGTTCGCTTCTATCCTTCCATCTGGCAGTTGCCCAGATAATAAGTTTTTCGTGGAGGACATGTCTGAAATCATGGATACAAACATGCATAATCGTCATAATTAATAAAATGAAAGGTTACTCTGTCAGTCTAATTAAAACTTTGCCTACAGTACCGTCTTTAATGCAGTTTCCACTCTATCCCAACTTTCCGCTGTTAAAAATTCATTCAATTACGATTTCGCAGAGATCAGATATGCACGCATAATAAGTATATTCCCTATGCGCATTTGTGGCAGTCACAGTAGTAAAAGCAAAGCATAAAATTTGTACAGTATACGTAATATCAATTGTCTAACTGTGGACTTGGCGTACGCTATTGTATATTATTTATACAATATACATATATATATTTAATTATTTTTTGGAAGTTTTAATTGCATTACCCTTTTTTTTCTATTCGTTTCGATGGATTACTCACGCCTCAATGCATTGCTTAAGTTAAGCAATAAAAAATACGATTCGAAACCATAGGAGCTGTGATGGCATACAATGGTTTATTTACGCGAGTGTTATATCAAAAAGAGAGAGAGAAAAAAAAAAATAGAAAAAACACTAGCTTCTCTTTTTGTATGCAGGAAACTAAATAACGGTTCAATGATTTTTTCTTCAATCCGCTTCTTCTACTTTTTCTCTCCCATAGAAGATAATATAAAAAGATACTTCAACGTTTCGTTTTTAATTATACAAAAGAAGAAAACCGAAAGAAATCTGAAATTGTTCTTGAATGAAAAGATGTAATAAAAACACATATATATATATACAGTTTTGGAATCATAAAAGTCATTTATATTTGTTGTTGCTGTTGTTGTTGTTGTTGCTTATTATATAGCTTTCGATTTGCATCAAATTTGTTTAGATTTTTAAACTTTCTTTTTTTTTTATACTTCTTTTCTCTGTAACTATGCTATACATTTTGTATGCAATGTTTGTTGGTTGCTTTGCCGTCGTTTTTGTTACATTTTGCTGTAATCTCTGTGTGTAATTAAATTTAATTTATTTACTCTTTTAGATAATATGTTGTGTGTATAATATTAAATATGACAATTTTCTTGTTGTTGTTGTTGTTGTTACTGATGTCGTTATCACTTAATACAATAATGTCGCACATTTATCTTTTCTGCTTTTTGCGTCGTCTTCATTTTGATACTATTAACAAAATAAGTTACATTTTTTTTAAACTTTTTTTTTTTTTGTAGTTTTTCTGTTTCTTGTTTGTTACATAATCTAAGTATTCTACATAAAACCGTAATTAATATATAGTAATATTAATAATTAATTAATAATAATTAAAAAAAAAAAAAACACTCTCTCGCATTATTATGTACAACTGTCAGGATGTTGGCTTTGTTTTCGTTTTGTTTTTGGCTCTTTCGAGTGCTCTATTGATGGACGTCTTGGATTACCTAGTGTTACTAAAGCACTGGCTACTGCTAGGCCAGCTGATTGACCGGCAGGAGCATGCTGTAATCCTCCTTAAAAGCAAGTAACAATAAGTGAACGTAATGCGGAAAGAATTCCAATTTATTACCTGTGGGTAAACGGACTAGAAGTGATAAAACAGCAGCGCGGTTACCGCTGCAAGGCTCTAAAGCTATTGGACTTGGACAATCCTTTAAAGTGATTATTTAAAAAATCGTTTGCTTGACAGATTTCAATAAGTTATTATTACCTTTTTGCGTTTTTTATTCACGTTAGTTATGCCCTCCATCGTCTGTGTCAGGTCAATGCTCTCACGGTTCTCCATTTCCACCAATACCTGAAAGTAAACTTTGGTTTAATTTTTATACTTATTTTTCTCACCTCTCGGTCTTTCTATCATATTAGTCTGTCATATTTTATATGTCTTCTCTCTTTCCATATTGTCTCTCTTAAGTACTAAACTCACTTGGGAAAACGGTCGACTGGCCATTTGTTCCATTTCTACAAACAGCCTTTGCCGACGGCGAAACATATCGTATTTCTGTTTAATTTTCCACAATATGGCAGCCATTAATAACAACAAAAGGAAGCAAGTGGAGAAGGTTATAAAAAATTGCTGTAAATTGAGCTTTGGATACTGGGAAAAAGCTATTTGTATCCAAATGGGTGGCTGAAAATCGTGCACCATCACATAAAACGTTGTCAATGAACTATTGTCTTCTGGCGAGTTACCAAAAATATATTCCGTTTTCGCGAAGCGATGACGAAATGTTGAGCAATTAATACTTCGGAAGATATTTTCGGCTTTAGACCCCGATCGTGCAACTGAAATGTCCATTTTGGCTGGAACACTGCACGTTATGGTAAAATCCGCATCAATTTCTGGCTTAACGGGAGAATTTCTAAAATTGATTTGTCGAAAGTGACGGTCCTCCTTTTTCGAAAGATTAAATGTAAACTGATAGTCAATGGCCAGCTCATAATAACACGACGATTTGATGGGATCACCGTGGTAGTGGTTTTGCGAATCGCATTTCTCGCAGTGATCGCCCACTATACCTTTGGTATTACAATAACATTTACCGGTGTCTGGATGGCAGACATCGCCCTGACTATTGCATTCGCATTTTTGACATTGACCGCCGTTGATAGGATTACCCCAATAGCCATGACTGCATTTCTCACAGTGGCTACCGGATGTTAAATTAGAACAGGGTTGTTCACAATGTATAGAATCAAGACAACGTGAGTGCCCGTTACAATTGCAACGAGGACATGAAGTGAAGAACCACTGTTTTAGAGGGCATTCGCTTAGATCATAGGGTTTTAAAGCGCCCCCCTCAACACAAGTCCCTAGACCTGTTTGAGAACCATCGTCACACCATCCACAAGCCGGATCGTCCAAGCATTGTGTACAACTGTTGTAGAAACCACATTGTGCACTAGAAACTACCGTAGCATTTGTACTAAATCTAGTAGGAGTCGTGCGGCATTTGGAAGTATGCGTAGTCCATTCGCGGCATTGACCATATGGAAAACTTGCGGTGTAGGCATTGCGATCCACACACCTTTGTTCGTTTTGACACCAGATGCAATCGTCATCGGTGCAATTGTAGCAGGTATTCAGAGTGGCGCAAGACGGAGGGCAGATTATTTCCTCCACCAAACGTATGTTTAAACTATTGCTCGATACATATGGGCGACATCTATTATGTTCTGGCTCCCAAATACACGCTGTGTTAGCTGAACAAGCGTGACAGCTGTGTAGTTGCTCGCATATTGCTATTGCGAGGAAATTCTCTGTTCCTGGGCAGCTTTCCAATTGTTTGACGTTTAATGGTGGTGTACTGGCGGCCACAACAAACTGTGGTTTTGATTCTTGATTTTGTTGCTGATGCTGTGTAGTGGCTTCATAGAACACCGAAGTAACCGAGGTGATTTCTCGACATCGCTCCTTTGTGCAGACGCCACTGCCACAATAAGTACAGCCAAACGAGTTAGAAACACACGAGGGACAATTATTTAGTTCATGGCAACGTGTCACGTCGTTTAATAATTCAGATGTCATTGTTAGACGACTCTTCGACGGGCAGGCGTAAAAATCGTACTGTTCGCGAGCATAAATGGCAGAACGCTTTACTTCCGTAATAGGGATGCAACGCATTTTCTGAACATCCCAAATACATTTAATGCCGGGCCTAGCGTTGGTACACTTTTCTTGCTTGGTATAGGAAGCGCAAAACCCTGGTTCAAAGCGAAGTATATCATTTAACAATTGCCCATTAAAACCTCCATATATATAAAGAGCATCCTCAAACACCACTGAACTATGGCCAAATCTTTAAAGGAAAAAATTGTATTACATAGGTATTAAAACAGCAATTAAACAAACCTGGCCAAGTCAGCTTGCAGATGCGCAGGCATATCCTGCATATGCCACGAATCACAGAATACATCATAAACTAGCAAATCTTGGCTGTAACACTTGGCTCCATAGCTTTGCGAGGTATCATTATGAGTATTACCGCCAAATACTATCATCAAACCCGGATTCACAAAATTCGCTGAGTGCAAAAGGCGAGCGGAGGGTGCTGATGACAACAGAGACCAAATCCGTGTTGATGGCGAGTATGCGTACAGTTTTGAGCTTAGCACTTGGCTTGATTCTGTTTCCGAAACGATGCCACCATAAACATAAATTTTCTCGGAAAGAAAATCATAAGCGGCACTATGTCCGAAACCACCCTTTACAACAAAACCGTACGTATCAACAATTTTCCATTCGCGTGTTCCGAAATTGAACTCTTGCACTGTATTCAAATAACCATATTGTGGGGAATGTCCAAATATCGACACCATATATGGATAGCTATACTTGTCGCCAAATCCGGGTACTAAAGTGGCTGTGTGGCCGGAAATGCGCAAAGGGCCGCACATGGCATATGGTGTTGCAGTTGTGTTACAAGGTTCAGCTTTTACTGTTATATTTTCCCACATTTTGGCCGATACATCAAAAGCCCACAATTCATTTGAAATGCCTACTCCCTTTACCACACCACCATACATGAAAATTTTGTCGCCATACATGACTGTAGACATACCATAGCGACGATGCGGCACACTACTACCTTTTTCAATGTGCACAGTCTCCCAGACATTGCCGTTAAAGTCGTATGTTGTCATAAATTCTCCACGACCATAGGATTCGCCGCCGATGATGTACAAAGTGTCCCGCCAAACTGCAGAGGCGTGTGAAGCAGTTCCCGGTGGTGGCAGCGACTGTTTTGGGTTAATATTTGACCATATGCCATGGGCTTTTAGTTGACCGCAATCATTGCCTCCGTATTCTTTTTTACAAATGCAACTAAAATAAAATATCTACAGTTAGCAATGGTGACATGCCTCTAACGTTTACAGGAAATTACCTTTCTTTTTCAATGCTGCATACACCGTGCCCCTCATTCGCGGTGCAATCGTTAGGACAAGTAGCTATATTACAAGCTTCTCCTCTAAAGAAAGGATCACAGATACAAAAGCCACCGTCACATTTACCGTGGCCTGAACATTCTAGTTCATCCGTATCGCTTGGACAAACGTCCATACGATATGATAAGTTAAAACCAGACATATTGTAAGCATCGTCGCTAAAAAAGTGCAATAATGCTGTACCCGAACGGGCTATGACTTGAGGTACACTGCGTATGGAAAAATTGCCTCTATACATAAGTCCGCTGAAAACAAATCACTTAAGTAAACTAAACCAAGGATTAGAACAAACAGAAAGTACCTGAATACGGCTAAAAGTGACGAGTCTACACTGTCGCCGTCGTATATGTATAAATGATCCCAACCGCACTCTGTGGCGAACTCACGTAAGTGCATCCGAATTGTGGGAGGCTTACTATTATGTTTGCGACTCCAGTGTAAATGTCGTGTGTCAATTAACCAGCTGCACTTAACACTTACAGAATAATTACCCCAACCATCGTGGATGGTACCGGTTGAATGATACATCCTAAATAAAATAAAGAAGACTTTAGTAAGTTTTCATTCTAATCAAATTTCTATTAAAAGTCTCTGTTGTTAACGAAATACAAATATTTGTTTACAAAAGCAATATATGTGGGCTTTAATACACAATAGGTAAAGATACCTCACTTTACCGCCACAAAATTGGCATTCGGGTCCTTGCCATCCATCAGCACATAAACATGTATCCTCTTTGCATTGACCTTCATTTTGACAAACACCGCCATGAGCTGTGCAATTATAGCCTGTGCCCGATACTCGTGTCAAATCATTGAATCCAGCGTGCACCAGCATCATGAACATTAACATCAAACATTTTCGCCTATATTTCGCATTGAATAATGTGAACGCACCTCGCTGCATTCCACACTGTGAAGACATGCTATTATGCTTGCCGCAGGTCTCTTTCAACATCTTCTCCCTCGGTGCTACGTTGTTGTTAATGTTAAGCAGCATTTTTATGCACTGGTTTCACCTACAACTTATTTATCTGTTCTTTTCTCAGTACTTGAATCCTTTAGCTTCACTAAATGATTTTTCAAAAACATTGTTTAATCAATTGTCGCCAATTTGAACAGATTTTCTTCTTCGATTTTATTATATTCAGCTTGCAGCCTTTCCCTTTTTCACTTTACACTGCGATAGCGTTGACTTTGTATTGAACTTTTGTTTTCATTATTTACACATTTATTAAAAAAATCAACAAAAATTAAAAATACTGTTAAATTAACTCAAATTCTTGGTAATAAATTAACTGTTGTCTTTCCCTATTTAATAGGAAAATACGAAAAATTTTTTATTGAATTTTTCAATGTGGAATAATATTCTTTCAATTTTTTTCTCTTTCAGGTGAGTGAACTAATTTCTCCGTGGTACTGCCAACAGAAATAAATATTCACGATTTACCATTTACCATTTATCGAGCTTTCAAAATAATACGATAATTATCGAAATTAAAAATAAAAACGGTATTTTAATCGTCTATTAAAAATTTAAAAAATTCATTGAATTGAATTAAAAAGAACCTTAGTTTTCAGAAAAGTCGTTATTAGTCATATGCCTATCGTTTGTTCGTTGATTGTTACCGATGATGATTTAAATTTCCCATCACGTAACTGCACGTTTATCCATGCAGATGAGGTTTTTAAACATCGACAAAAACAAAACCTTTGTAGAAAATTCTTTGAAGTCCGTAAACAAAAATTCTCATAGATATATTTATTTATTTATTGACGTTTATGAAATCTCGAAGCCATTAAGAAGAAACTGTGCTTACTTTTGGTAAGCTCAATTTTTTTAATTCCATCCTTTAGTTGCCAAAAGATGAGTTTTCGAATTACCCATATTGCTTCACTGGGAATATATGTGATGGACAAAATTGTATCATTAAATAAAAGCTCTTTTTGCATGAAAATCGCGTTTTCGCCACAATTATCTGGTACCATATTAGGTGACAGTCCTTTATTTAAGAGCCATATTATTAAAAGCAGACCTGATTTGCTCAGCTGCTGGAAGAATGACAAATTTTCTATGACCATTCGTTACAATTGCCTTTCCAAGGAGGTCTGACGGCAACCATAAAGTGGAAGACAGTTCCTCGTTTTGGTGCTTCACTGCTGAGCGCATATTGTGTCGCACCGATCGTTCAGCCATTGTTGTAATAAAGAACAAGTTTCATTTGACATAAAACCTCCACATAAGAAAGATTGACATCTCCCTTCGTCGCAAATATCGATGCAAGGATGTGAGTATGTGAAGTATTAAGTTTATTTTATCAAAAATATTGTCAAATTTATAATAAAAAAATGTGTAGTCGAGACATGCGTCCGCGCGTCAATTCCTCAAGTTTTGAGAGTTCAGAGGATCGGAAAAATATATTTATCAGCCGCCTCTTGGCGATAGGGTAGCAGCACTTGGTGATGCACGCCATGCAGAGTATCATAAAGCTGATGGGATACTTCTTGATTTTTTTTTTGATTTATATTTATGAAAGGTTAAAAATGAAGTAGGAAGATCAGCCGCTGTAATAGCTTATTTTCAGTGCCAAAAGCGGCTTTTCAGTTGCAAAACACTTCAAAATTTAATTTATAAAAAATTGTAAAAGAGCGAGAAGAATTTTTCGTGGCGGGAAATTATGTGTTATTCTGAAATTAATAGTTGAAGTCGACAATATTATAAATATTTCCAATTATCAAGCTTTGGTAAAAGTATTTTAAAAATTTTACAAATTTATGGAAATACGAGAATTTTGGGGCATATTAGACTTTGCCTGAAAACGCTTTTAATCAAAACTACATTTTTTATGCGAGCCAAATCGGTGGATTATTGTCACCAAGAGTGGTTGAAAATAATAGAATTTGTCTTAGCTGATACAGCTTCCGATTCAGAAATAATTTATGAAAAAAGTTGTTAACAAACGATTGATGGTACACCAACAACTTAATGCAAGTCAATGCATTACTTTAATGACTTCATATATTGCAAATTCTATTAGACGCGCTGAATATGTTACTACTAATTTATTACCCTCTATTTTTTACTTTAAGAATTTATTAAGAAATAAAATTTCAACTTCGGCGTTTTAAAAATTCGTATCGATACATCAGATATAAATGAGTAAATTATTTGCGCCTTTTGAAAATCAATGAAGAGACTTTCCAACATTCAACATGAAACTTCGGGATTAGAACCTACCGGTTTATCGCAAATGGAGGGAGAGATTTGTTAATTTGATTTATTGTTCTACGTTGCGTATTTATGCTTGACAATCCAAAGAAATGAAAGTACCCAAAACTAATTCAGGATGCACGGATGTGTACGCTCAACTTGAACTCATTAAGAAGCATTTTACAAAAAGAAAGGTGCTGTGGCAATAATTTTAAAATTTTATTGAATTATTAATAATTTTAGGAAGGAATATTAGGAAGTTACCTTTAAACTACGGAAGATATCGGGTTGCTGTTATAATGCGACAATCGACAATATTCGTAAGACTGCTTCTGCTTCAGATTTACTGCGGGCATGTCAGATGTTGCGAAACGTTTTTGAGACTTCAATTCGTGTGGCTAAAGGCAATTCCTGAATAGATGCAAATTTACAAACTAGAAAAGGAGCCTAAAGAGGTACAAAGTGTTATGGAGCATGAACATGAAGATGAACAAGTTGTTAGTAATGAATGCTTTGCAAATGCCATTAACCCCGCTAATCGAGATAACAGTGATAGTAATCAATAGCGCAAAACATTGAAAATAAAACAAGAAAGTTTTAATAGCTTTATGTGCATCACAAACGCGTTTGGAAGTTTTGGACTTTTGTTATCTTAAGAGTGCAGCGTGCCGATGAGATGAAGACGTTAAACGGATTGGAAGTCTTAATCTTTTAATAGTTACTTAATTTTCCATACTTATTGAATTATTTATATCTAATTTTTATTAAAATTATGCAGAAACTTAAACGTATGGTAGACCATATGAGACGCTTTCAAGTACTGAACTCGGAGATTTTCGCTATACTGAACAAATATCTGAAGGGTAGTGACTTTGAGGATCCATTGTTTCGTGGTGCCGGTATCGCGGCAAATACATTCACCAATCAGCCACCGTATCATTACTGCCGGAAACGTATGGTCGTAAGGTGGTTGAATTGTGCTTACGTAATTTAATAGAGAGAATGCGTTCCGTTGAAATTCGAAAGGAGAAATAGCTGTATAATGTATAGAAATAATCGTTAGTGCGCTCATATCGACATAACGTCACCGTTTCATCACCATGGAGCCTCTTTAAAATCAGATCAACGGCACATTTAGCAATTTCTGAAGAATCACTGCTCGTTAGAGTGTGCATTAACACGGGTTTATACTGCTACAACAGAGACTTCGTAAGTTGATTATCCAAAATGTCATGCGAGTACATGAAGCCTATTATTTTGGGATAGAATGATAATCTTTAATGTAAAAATGTCAGACATAACATTTGACAACAGTACTATTTCTTGGCAAGATTAATTCTGCCCCTCAGTTAAAGCAAGTACCTATGCCATTTGTAAGTAAAAAGCTACCTAAATTCAAATCGTTGATGAATAAGAAAAAACAAACCGAGAACTAAATTTCCGATGGGCGCTCATCAACATTTCTGAATACAATGAAAATTTGGACGTGCCCAGGTTTATTATCAATTTATAAACAACATCTTGGTCGTGCTCAGGTTTATTATCAAATTATAATGAGCGAACTTCGAGTTTTGTTACCTTAGAGGAGAAGTAAATGAGCGAATTTCGAATTTTGTTACTTTAGAGCGTAAGTGAAAGAGTTTTCTAGCTCTAACTCCATATTCAAAAAAAAAAGAATCTTTTTCGTAGTTTGTATTTATATATGTAGACAATGAAAAACTAACAAAACATTTATTTTCAATTTAGGATTTATTTAATTACTTCACTGTTGTTCTCTTCTCTCGAATGTTCAGCAAGCCAATAATAGATGATTTCCTACGTCATAATAAAAAAGGCTCAGTGTGCACATGAAGTCCGTGGTAGTTCGTAAGGAGAAACTCAAATAAGCAAGAAGCGTAAGGAATTATAAAAGCGTCTTAACCTGGGAATTATGTGAATGTTTATAAAGAGTCGCAAAAAATTTTTAAGTTTAAACTTATATACAGGAATGTTTAATTTTCCCTTCTTTTATTTCCCACTGAATAATGCATTCAACTACAAAAACACAAGAACGAATTTTATTTTATTAAAAAAAAGTTTATTAGGATATATATCATTTAATAAGTTAAATAAATGTAAGGTATTTGATAATAAAAGTTGGAGTATAATCAGGATCTTTGTGAGAATTGGGATTAAAAAGTCCCAAATGGGCAGCTGCGTTACCACATGGTTTTAGATCCAAAAATAACGAAATCATACCACGTAAATAAAAGCACAAGCTTATAAAAAATAACAATTTTGTTAATCTTCATAAACTGCTTAAATTTTGTGACACTGTCGAAAGCCTTTTTGTGTACTCACTAATCTATAATTTGGAAAGAAGCCGTTTTAACTCTCTAATAGAACAATTTCGACTTTAAAATAAATGGCCTTTACTGCTTGTTTTTCATTTCATGGTACAAGCCAAAATTGCAAATCATATAAAATAAAAAGTGTTCATCGGTGTAAACATAAATTAGATAAATAACATTTCTTATGTTTTTTG